ATTATGTAATTACTGTATTATGTAAGAGAAGGTCAACACTTAAAAAGTCTTAATATTCTTTGTATATATATATATATATATATATATATATTGTATATACAGTACTCTATAGACATAGAGTGTATGTGTTGTAAGTGTTGTGTGTATTGTGTTCTAAACGCTATGCAATACAACGAATTTCTATATAATATGGTTTCTATGGATACTTCACTGCAACGCATATGACTGTATTGTATTGAATGCTTCATACAATTCATACAATTCTGTGTTATTCTGTGTTTCTATTCTCATAAGCAATCGATTGATGAGTTTAAATGTGAAATATATTTTATAGTCATTATTATTCAGATTTGTCACCTTATTATACCTTATATTCACATTTGGTATCAAATAAATTTTGTTTATTCCCAAAAATTGGTTAACCAGGTATAGATTTTGTGTAATTTATTAGTGAACTGTTTTGTTACAAAATACAAACCTTATGATAGACTAGATTGCTATACATGTAGAGCGTGTGGATAGCACTGGTAGCCGATTGTATAGTAAATGCACAGCAAATGCACTGCAAATGTTGGCAAAAGCACTCCATTATTGTATTGTTTTGCACTTTTATATGTTTACTACATTACTTTTCACAGCACACAACACCAGTGTATTCACCAAATCATTCATTTCACGCACCTGTTGATCACTTTAAGTTAAATATGCTTAAGTGGACATATTTCAACAAGATCAACAAACTTTTCTAAATTATACAAGAATATAGGTTTAGATAGAATTATTAATTTGATACAATATTACTACAATTATATTATAGTCTCACTTTATGTTTATTTATGAATCTTATTTTTACTTTAATCATGCAATTATTATGCTTTTAAAATCTTTATAGCCACAATTATAAATTAATTTTTAATTAAAACTTTTAATTAATAAAATTATATTTGTTTTAGATTATTTTTCAGTATAAATATGCTCTTTAATAAGTAAGCTATAGTTATGTGTTGAGAGTATTAAATTAATATCTCACATTTGATTCACGAATATTCTGGCACAATCTATGCTCTATATTACCTCATACTGTATACAAAATACACACATTACAATATATTTTAATTATAAGAAATTCACAAACTTTATATATAAATAATTGATCATTATTTTAAATTTAATATAGTGTAAATTTTATTTTAAAACTAATTCGTTTAAAAATATGATTTAAATTAATGTTTGTCAAAACAACTACTATTTTAATTTAGAATGAAATTTATTTTGATATGAATGATACAAAATTTTATTTTCATATCGTACTTTATAGTGTTATAATTATTTGCGTTATTTTTATTAAAATAAAAATAATATGATTTGAGAAATAAATTGAAAAATAATAATTTTTTTTCTGAAATTGATGTGCTTTTATAAGTTAAATATAAATTGAAGTTATAATAAAAATATTTTGCACTTTTTCTGGAATCATTTAGAAATGCTAAAAGTCAGAGCCAACTAATCTCAATCTCATTGTTATAATAACTGTAATAATATTATTATTCACAATAATAAAGTCAAACAAATAAGAATTGACGAGAAAATGGCTCAAAACGAGGACTCAATGAATAATAAAATAAACTTTGCAGAAGGTGAGAGATCATTTCATGTTCATGTTACACACTTTTCAATTATATACATGTATATTGCTAAACAATTATCACTATTTCATTGCACCAAACCTATCAAACTAATCATATCTTATATTACTTTATTTTATTTATTCTATAATTATTTTATACAAACAAATAATAGTAATAAAAAGAATATTCTTTAAATCATTTATTTTTCATAAATTTGAAACTATCTCTAAATATGCAAAACATTTAAATGAAAAGATATTTTGATTTATGTTGAAATGACTAAGAGAATGGTTCCCCAAATGATTGAATGCTTTGGTCTCATAATAAGATAACATATATGTAAGAAGAATATAATGTTGTCCATAGATTACAATTATTATATAATATTTAAATTTAAAGATAATTGAAAAAATTAACCGAAAATTACCGTAAACTTAAAAATCATATGATTCTTAAAATTTTAATTAGTTTTAGTATATGATTTTTTGTTTTGGGATATTAAACAGCAGATATTCATTAGAATTTCATCAAATGGATATTGATCATTTTTATTTTTCAGTATTTTTCTACATGATATTGCTGTCAATTTCCAATGATAAAAATTTCGAGATGGCCACAATTAGTATGTTTTATTTAACAATGATTAGCATTCAGACATAAGAATTTGTTTGTATTTTAACATTATATAATATATCAAATAAGTTAATCACTATGACTATGAGTGGAAAAGTTTATAAAGTGTAAGTCATAACATAATGTTAAAATACTGTATAGGCAAATTCTTATTAATTTGGATATTGTCAGTAATATCATGTCGAAAAATACTGTCATACTGTATCAAAATTATCAATATCTATTTCAAATGGACCATTTGATCAAAAGATAATCAAAGTGTTTATTTATTTTATTTTCTCTCAAATATTTGTATGCAGTATTCTAATGTTGAACAATCTTGCACATATTAAGAGATTCTTTCAAATAAAGAATTTATAGAATATTCTATTCGCTACCATTGTTATTGTGCTCTCAATAGTAAACAAATATGTTTTATAATTTCGACAATTAATTGATGACATTTGGGAGTAATATGAAAGAGTGCCTTCAACTTGGCTTCAAATGACGGAAATAGTATTAAGCAATAAGACACAGTCATATTAAAGCTGAATTGAAAGGTCTCTTTCACATTCCTACCACAGTTACGTTAATTTAATCTCAAAAAGTAGATAAGAATAATACCCTTTTCAAATTGACTTAAATCTAAAGGGTGTAGGTGCAAATAAACAATACGAGATTTCTATGAATGACGAATTATCACAATAATCTTTAAATATATAATCTATAATCTATTAATTACTAATTTATTGATTTAATCAAATTTAATTACAAATTTAAATATTATTAATACTGTATATTAAGTTTTATTAAATTTTCTTTTAAATATATTACCGGTTTATGCTGCTCAATTTAAATGATATACATACTACAGTATTATTAAAATCGATAATATAATAAATTAATTTACTTTTAGTTATATAATATCACAGATATTAAAAATTTTAATCAATAATATAATTATTTCTAAAATTATATAAATTATATCAAATAAAAGTTTTTATTATTTTTAATAATTTTTATTTCAAAAGTAATATTTTACAAACAAAAAATATAATTATAAAAATGGCACTTTGTAGTAATTAGTAATTATAATACAATTCTTAAAATAATAATAATAAAGTTTTTTGAATAAAAATATTAAATATATGGTAACTATTACTAACAATTTTATTTAATGTGAAATCAACACATAGAATGTTAATTCCTATTTATTCTAAATACTATTTTCTATTTTCATAATAATTATCGAGTTTTACATATAAAATAAAATATTATTACAATTTCTTAGTTTTACTCAAAGAAGTACAAAATAGCTAAATAATAATTATAATGATGAGAATCTAAACACTCCCATAGTATATGTTTACGTCAAATATAAAACATCAATAAACACTTAATACAGTTGTAATATGTTTTGAAATCATAAATGAACTATAGTTACGACCATTCGTTTGAATGGTTTGTGTCTCACTTCATGTCATGTTTTATATTGAAATATACGTTCATTTTTGTGAACATTTCAAACCATTACAACTCGTTTTACATTGTATTTATACTGTACAAGTAAATAAGATGACCTTAAAGTGTATTCATTAGTGTACACAATTGTAAGTGTACATTTTAAAAACATTTTAATTTATCTCAACACGTTTAGAAAGGAGTACTTGCTTGATCATTTGTTTGTTTGTAACAATTATCACGTCAATGTTAGAACATTGCAAATAAAAATATATTATGTATTTCTATATTAATATTATGTGATATTTTTATTAGTGAAGAATTTGAATATATAGTAATAATATAATATATTACCAAACTATTTGATGTTTTAAACTATTTATAATATATTAATAGTATAATAATTTTATTCGACATTAAATTTAACTTACTGTTTGAATTCAATATTATGATATTAGTGTAATTAAAATTATAATTACTTATAAATTATATGATAGATTAATATTAAGAATATATAAAATATTATGTTAAGCTATTGTATAATTGTGTGGTTAAATAATAATTGGCAACTCCTATAATCTTTCCCCCCAAACGCAAAACATTGTCTCGAAAACTGTATTTGTAATAAAAATTGGGTTAAAACACAATATAAGGCAATGTGAGAAGAGCCACAGTAACCGACGTCTATATAATGCAAAAACAAAATAGCGTTCACTTCGGAGGTGCGGACACAGCTATCTGTCATTCAATTATATAGTCAACCATTGGATTGATGAGCCAAATGACATCATGAATGCCATAATTACCTCTCATTTCTATTTGTTTAGGGAGTGAGTCAACAGACAGTGGCCAAGGAGTGTGCGGCGCAATACTGACCCTCTTATCGCTGGCAGTGGCCGCCTGTACTTTCCCCTTCTCACTCTTCTTCTGCATCAAAGTTGTCCAGGAATATGAACGCGCCGTCATCTTCAGACTCGTTAGTATCCGACCATACACCTGAACATACACATACATACACCCAAACATCTACAGTATACCATTATTACAAACACACTATTAAGCTGTACTCACTTGAACACTGTGTGACCAAGGTGGCACAATGTATCACTCAATAAGTCGGCTATAATACAATACTAGAAATGATGAGAATAATAGGATCTAATTGATGGTACTACTCATATACTGTACTAACGTATACAGGGTCGTCTACTGCATGGAGGTGCAAAAGGACCTGGTATATTCTTCATCCTGCCGTGCATCGAGCACTACACGAAAGTGGACTTAAGGACCCTGACGTTTGATGTACCGCCTCAGGAGGTGCTGACGAAGGACTCGGTGACAGTGAGTGTGGACGCTGTGGTGTACTATCGCGTACACAACGCCACTGTATCCGTGGCTAACGTAGAGAACGCTCACCACTCGACCCGACTTCTGGCCCAAACCACTCTCAGAAATATGTTGGGAACTCATAATTTACACGAAATCCTATCCGATAGGGAGTCCATATCCAACTCAATGCAGGTATGGTACGCACTCCTACTGTACATACAGTATATTCACAAATTCATATACTGTATGAAACCATTGATTATACTCTCATTGTACGGCACTGTATGCTCGCTTTCACTTCAAATCTATATTTATTTTAAGAAATCTATTCATACGAATGAATTAGAAAATATTTTTTAGTTTATTCAATGCTTCATTTGTTATCATATTATTGTTTCACTTAATGTTTATTAAAATTAATTTAATTTAATTTTTTAGAGATTATTTTGTTTCAATTTGTAACCACGTGTAGTCCATTAAATGTTGACCCAATGTATGCATTATCTCAACGTTATGTCCGTCTTTAAGTTCATTTAAACAGTATATGACTTATGAATGCATTGCCATAGAGGTAGCCATCATTTGATACCCAAAGCAATAGAATAGACATGCCATGCTGACATTTCTTTTAAAATTTATTTTTGGAAAATAAATTTTTATCCCCATTTCCCGACAAATACCCTTACATATAGACTGTTCTGGATGAATGTACAGGTGCCTGGGGTATAAAAGTGGAACGTGTCGAGATGTGAGTCACTATTTTTATTATTCTCTTTTCTCTCTTTTCCCAAAAACCCCGCAAATTAAGAATTATTTGGACGAAGTCACCGAAGTTTGGGGCATTAAAGTAGAAAGAGTAGAAATGTGAGTCCATCCAGTACTACTTTTACTTATTATTAAATTATGTTAATAATTTATTCGACATAATTTAAATAATATTATAATCAGGTGTTTGTTTCTTATATGAATTATTAGCTATTTGTATGAAAAGTATTTATAAAACAGTAGTTTAATATATTGTATGAACCATAAAATACCGTAATACACTCTGTATGTTTTAAAATTATTTAAGGATTTTTGAATTCAAATGTAAGTGAGTAAGTATTTTATAATCTAGCTACCATATTAAGTAAGGTACATATTTACGAAATTAATTTTCTTGCACTTGCAATTTTCATCAATTGTTATTAAAGATTTTTGGTTAAAAATACAGCCAGTTTATTTTCTATAATATATTTCATAGTATAAGAAATTAATGTCAAGAAAACTATACAAAAAATAAAACTTTTGCCTTTAAACAATATTAAATTAACAGTTTGAACAGCAAAAATACGAGTAAAATAAGATTTTAGTATAAATATATTTTAGAATTCAATTCTCTCACATATACTAGTATTTACCAACTTTAATAAATTATATTTAAATTAGTAACTTTTATATTATAAATACACGAATTAGTTAATTCAATTAGTTAAGCTAGCTAATAAATCACATATTAAATCAAAATTTAAAAGAATAATATACTATGTAAGTATACATAACCAAAATAGTACAATATTACAATATTACTTACCTATAGGTAGGCTAAACTTTATTTCTATTATTAATTATAATCAATTAGTTTGCTTTATTAATAAAAGTCAATAAAAATAAATCTATCTATATTTCAAATTCAAAATCTCAAGATTATGCCCAAATTATGCTTAAAATTCTAAAATAATTAAAATAGTTACGAACCCATCAAATAGTTATTTATAGTTAAAATAAAACTCTCTTGAAATGATCCCGATTACATGATTCGTATGCATACTTAATGTCGAGAAATTCTTGGCTATTGCATCAAATAGTTAAATAACTGGATTTGGATGCTTTAATAATGATACAACATATGATACTGATTATGATACATTGTATACAACATACCCATGTACTGGACTTAAGCAT